GTTAAGATTTGAACGAATGATTGTGATTCATGGAACATGGTTAAGACTAGAACTAAAACTAAAAAGATCCCCAATATTCTTGAAGAAAAATTGTTGTTGATCTAAGCTGACATAAGGCAAGTGTAAAAAGAACGTCATGCGATCAAAACTTTTGTTTAACTCTGCTCACAGACTCACTAATAACAAAAACGTTGGGAAGTAATATTCATTATATACTCTGTCAGGAATGATCCAACAAGGATTAGATACTGAAAAATAAGTAAAAGAGCGATCGATGTTATTGTAAAAGGCACTTAAGCTGGTAAGGTCCCTCTTCTTCTCGAGTCTCTAGAGAGCACTGGTCGCGGGTGTGTTCTTTAGGGCCTATTTGCTTTGACAACACTCAAAAATATATTTCGAAAAAAACTATCTTCTTTATTATAAAAGCACACGAAAAAACTTTCACGTTCTATGCGTAATGAGTTTCATGAAAAGTGGGTTTTGATACACAAATCGATAAAGAGATGTCTTGACTTTTTACGGGTTAAGAGTCATCATATGAAAAAAAATGTCACGTGATTGTATCGTAATCTTGAAAGTTACTCCATCAGTTTACAATATTTGCATCAAAATTAAAAGCTCTTCTTGTATTTGTGATGAATTGAAATAATTTCGAATGCGGGCCTTCATTTCGTTGTCAATCAACTCTGGTGATGCAATTCAAAAGCAGATACCCCCCTGTCAAATTTTTCATCAATATGCATATTTCTGAGAGAAGGCTTAACTTCAATATTCACTTAAATATCAACCATAACGTTCCCTGTTTGAAACTTCATGTGAGTAGTATAACGATTAGCGGATTGGAAGTCTTAACAAGTTGCATGGGTTTGGAAAAGCGTAAAAGAGCCAATGAGGAATTAGGATGGTTTTTGTCTGGTAATATTGTTTAGCAACGGGGTGCGGGGTGGCCAGGGGGCGTCGAGCAAGGGTGGATGGTCAGGAACTTTCCTTGATGAAAGTGGGATTCCTCTSGTAAAATGCTAACGGAGTTCCGATTTCAACCAAATTTCCATTCTCGTACCCAGACCCTACTCTGTCGGCCTCTAGCGGCCTGTCGTAGGCTCTGGGACACCCTGTGATTTCAAGCCACATGATTGGTTAATTCAGATAACAAGCGGACAAGATTGTAACCGCGATCAACAATTCAAATATTTGTAATTTAATATATCAGTACGTTTTTTGCGTACATATTCTTGCCTGTCTTTACCAGAGATTATCCGGAAAAACCATTCCGAGAGAGTCTGGAGAGAGAGCTTAGAGCATAAACCGGAAGCAAGATTTCTTGCTTCCGGTTTATAGGGTGTCCCAGAGCCTACGGAAGAGTTGTCAAAGCTGATGTTGAGAAAATTACTGATCATGAATGCTGAAGCTAAAGAAAACATACACAGAAAAACAGTGATGATAGTGAAAAAAATTGATTCAGTTTCAAGTTGGTGCGACAGTTGGTGGGTCTTTGGTCTTTAAAACATAATTGAAGCAGYAAACCATTGGGAGTCTAACCGTAACTAGCCTGCGTACATCCGGTATATTTTCGGTGGATGAAACTCAGATTAAGCCTAACCTAAACGAAAAGTAATTCAGTATGTGCTGAAACAAAAATGCAGTAAAATCTTTTTGAAAAAAAAAAAAAATTTTTTGCGTCAATGAGATGTACAAACCAAAGAAGAGATCATAATATTAGGTATTGTACACTCGACTGACGCTCAAAAAAATAATAATAACAAACAATAATAATGAGTTGAAGTCATGTTTATTCTTAACTCAGTCATTACCATAAACTTTCAATGGCACTACACTGGTCTTATCTTCATCTCGGCTCTCTTGGCAGAATAGTTATAACCCTTCCAAGTACGCCAGTTCACACCGTCAGCATAGGACTTGTGTTTACCGTGGTGGTACAGACCATTGAGGTTGGAGTAATGGCAGCTATGATACCACCAGGCACCCTTGTACGATACAGCACAGTTACTCCTCACCTTATCATTATCACGATCTTTGGTTGAGAAGGACATACCGCGATGTTCGGACAATGAATTCCCTGCAGTGCCTGCAAAAAAAGAGAAGAAGAAAAAAAACAGTAAAACCAACGCCAAAAAAATAACATAAAAACGAAAAGAAATTAGAGAAAAGCCATGGAGCCATGACCTGAGATCGAAAAACGGGTCGAAAAAGAACGGGCCGAAGGAAAATAGGTCTGTACTCATTTCCATGTAAGTTCATGTTGTTTCGTAACTCCAAAAAACCTAATGAGTAAATTTTCTAAGGAGATATWTAAAAAGATGTTTATTATACTTTCTACTTAGGTAATATCGCATGTTAAACATTTTGAATCTATAGGTAGGATGAT